ATTGCTTATAATTTTGCTTATAATTTATCTATTAGATTGTTCTTTTTCCTTTTCTTCTAACAACAATACACCTACCATCAAACAATATAAGGGAAACCTGTTATTGGCCATACTTTTAGTTTGTTACATTAATGTTAATATTTTCTATATACGCTGTTGGTTTTCTAAATAAATAAATAAATAAATAATTTAGGTACTTGAAAAAGTAATGATACCGCAATATTACAATATCGATATATAAAAAATATAATTATACAGGTACAGTTACTTTAAGGTATAGTAATTTAAAGGTACCTTTATTTTAAGGTATGGAAATTTAAAGGTATGACGTCATACCGCTAACCGTTTTAACCATAATTTTTTCGGTTATTCAATCCCTGCTCGTGAACCTTTCCTTATTGTTATACTTAATCTTATAATTAGTAGCGATTAAATGAAAAGGCATATTTCGATATAATTTTATTTTCATATTTTTATAATTCATTTATATATTGTAATGACTATTAGTCAACTACCAAACTAAATAATATAATTCAACAGCATCTTTTATATACAATATGTATAGTTATAGATCTTATATTCCTCATTTCCGAACTTTAAAAAAGAGACAGTCGTCTAATTCATATAAAATAATATTGAAACAAACTACGCTCGTTATAGATTTAACAAGTAATAATTTGCCACAAGTTTTGTTCATTATTTATTTACAAACCTTACATTAATTTAGTCCCATAATTTCCCAAATGAAAATCTGCCGGCGCATAAATGGGGGCGAAGTCACCTGACGCGAGTGAATAAAAGGTAGCGCCGACTTCGTGCAACAATTAATAAAATTGAGTAAACTTAACTGCTTTTATTACAGTACATATCAATTAAACATTGCAAGAGCATTAAATATATGACTCGTCAGATTGAGTACCTAAATCTGTACACATTCGAGACCAGTGATACAAGTTATGACACAAGGAGCTGCGCGACCGTCGCCATATTTGATTTGAAGTCTTGAAACTATAATTTAAAGAACAACTGTTCTCGTTCTCATAAATTATTAATTGGATTTTTTTAGACTTAAGTAATGATATCTATTAACCGTACGAACGATTGTTTTAAATCTTAACTTAAAACATGATAGGTATATGCATGGCGACGGTTGCGCGATATAATTAAATATACGAAAAATATATTTATTTTAAGTAAATCTCTCGAATATTAATAACATCCAATACAATAACTACTTTCTCACGAAAATCTATTTAGAATGAAATGCTAGCAACCTGTACAATATGGAACGTGACCTGTTATTATAATCTGTTATGTCAATGAAAGGGTCACAGATCAAAGAGAACTAAATTACTAAGCTCACCTTTGTTCTACATACTAAGAAAATGGTAAATTCTGTTGATAATTTTCTGTTTAGTTTTCTTTGGCCTGAGAATTCTTACAACTTTTTAATTCTATGTTGATCTTAGAAGCGTTAGGTAGAAAAGTTAAGCGCCCTCACAAAACTACGACGGGCACTACAATCATCGCGACTATCCAAGTAGTCTGATATATAAGACTGATATGCGACCAGATATAGAACGGTGCGTTTACAGCAGCTAGTGTGCTCAACTAACCCTCAAACACAAAATACGTAGCGCGTGACTTTGAAGATACTTCACATGTGCTAATTAACTAATGTTTATTAAGAAAAATATTGATTTCTCTACTAAATTTCTTAACAAGGCGTGTGGCCCGCGTAATAAAATAATGCCTTTGAAATCTATACAAACATTAAATTGGAACTGTCAAATCTATTTATTAGTTTCAATTGCATATTCCTGACAATAGTAACACTCTGTTAGTCATATCATTCTTAACGAAATATTTTTTTTAAAGAAAACTTTTGTATTCTAGAATAGCTTATTAGAAGAAACGTAGATTGACTTATAGTATATGCGCTTTAAAATAAATTACTTTACTTACATAAATGAGGTTACGTTTGGTTGCCCATTAAAGTTAATAGTATAAAAAATACGATGTGAAATTAAACAATACTGTATGTATATAAAAATTAGTTAATAAGAATTAAGGACAATAATAATTTCGCTTGTTTGATATAAAATCTGTTTCAATTTTATAATGAAGTAGTGAATGTGAATATAAAAATAGCATTAAATGAGAATATTAATAAACAACAGGATATTTTAAACTAAATAACAAATAATATATATCAAATAACATGTTATTAAAATGTGTTAATCTTAACTATTTAAACATCTGACTAAATAAGGCATTACATAGAAAAGCGATAAGCAACAAAAGGATTATTAGTGACAATAAAGAGAGGATATAGAGAGGTGTTAATAAAAATGATTATTGCCATGCGATACACCGACTTCACTATATTACTTATAAAGATATAAAGCAGAGGAAACTCGCTGTGTTACTGTTTTTTTGTTTTTTGGTTTTCGTAAATTGGAGTCAGTAGTAAGTTAATTATCAAAATGGTGATACTGACATGCAAATGTTTTACTTTTATTTCTATTGTATTCGATCCTTTGCTGACGAACGGAACTATACCATGAAGTATGGAAATACGTTGATACTATTAGAAAATTATGTATTTTGTTTTGTATACACAGAGAGTTTCTCTACAAACCTATTATTTACGCAGCGATATACCATAGTGCATTTATTTGTTACATTACATATTATTAATTATCGCTTTATTTTAATTTTGTATTTTTGACAAGCAACACCAACACGACACCAATTGGTCTGGCCTACTTTAGGCTAGCAACCTGCGCGTAGTAAGTATTGCTATCATTGTATGCGGTGACAAGCACCGTGACGCTTCATAATAATAAAAACAATTCAAAATTTAACATGAATTACTAACGAATACATAAAAATAAAATTTAATTCAAATTTACACACATGAATTAAAAAAATATAAATTTTGTAACGAAAATAGCTAGAGAAATCGAAATAACACACGTAGCTACACCTCACGGTGTGAAAGAAACTTGTAGAGTAACAAAAATTATTGTCATCCAATGCTTAATTTTCCATTTTTATAGTATCGTTTATATATTTTATTTAACTTAACACTTTATACAATTTAACATCAACTATCAATATTATTTTATTAAGAATTACTTTTTGCTCATATCTATAAAAATGTACAACTACTCGTGAAAGGTATCAAAGTAGAAGTAGTAATCTCATGAGTGTGAAATAAAAACATTAGACAAACTCAAACATTTTTATTTTTATAAATTAAATGCATTTAAAAATTTACAGTAGAATCATTCGTGACATAATAAAAAAAAATAGTTACACTTGTTTTTGACATAAACCAAATGTCAAAATTCCCGCGTTTCGGGATTGTGAAATAATCGATTACAAATTAAAATATTTACTTAATGAAGTGGTCAAGCGTCGACGTTTCACTACGATACGTTTAACTACGGTATAAAAAGATTAAGTTACAATATATTATTTAATGTTCCTTTTTAATTTATTTACATTATCACATCAGGGATCAAATACAGTGCAAGCGTTTACAAACCCACCGGAGTAGGAGGCAGCCTGATTTTTATATTGTATGACATTATGATATTGTGTATTTTACCTACGATAGGAAATTTCTAGTGATCGGTGAAGGATGAAATAGGCACAGAAATAATTGAACGACTTTGCTAGAAACGGCCTGTATGTTTTAAAATCTATGTTAGATTGAATATGGAAAACGTGCGTTAATTTTGAGCCAAGTATTGACTATTACGGTGGGCTCATTTGAATCCATTTCTAAAAAAAAAGAAAATTGTAAAAATATAAGTGACATTTTAAATGCTATTTTTATTAATGTTGTATTTTTTATTTTAATTTACTTCAATTATTTTTGCTGTTGTAATTTTTGTTGTAATGATTGTTCATGTTTCGTGAACTGGAAAACGTGTTATGAGGAAATAAAACGTGTAAGTTGATCTAGACAATAGTCTCTAAAATATGCCTTAAGTGCAAATTGTAGGTATTAAATTGATGCAATGTCATTATAAAATATGGAAGGGTAAATGTCATTACTGTTTAGTTGAGCATATTGAACAACTGTTAAGTAATTGTAAATAATTCGGTTCACGAACGATTCTTTACAGTTTAGTTTATATAGGAAGAGTTAATGACGTACGAGTGTATATTTTATTCCAATCCAATTTTCTATGAATATAGACAATGCTATCTTCTTTTATGCTGTTTAATATATTACTTCTAAAAGAGACAACCAAACATTGTCACGTTCGTATAAAATTGGATTTGAACAGACTTAAAGCGAGTGACATTTCGCGTGCACAGAGGGCGTGCATGTTGTGCGCTGACAATCAACAAAAAAGATAGAAGGAGCGCCGTGTACATTATAAAGTAACATCGAAACCGCGTTTTACGCACACATCTTTCTTTTTCTATTCTTTGGAACGGATGGAACGGACGCCGGACGCACGCATATACATCAAAAATAATTTCTTCAATATGGAATAAGGGTTACAAACGAGCACACAGTTCACCATCCTTGATTAGGAATCAAAATGCAGATGCGTTGTCACCCTTGAAGATTAAGATGGAATGTTTCATTTCCAGTAAAAAAGGACCTCTCTACACCCACCAGTCCAACACAGCTGTTATTTCACGCTGGTATTGTGAAAGCGTGGTCCTCCCACGGTGGAGGCGACCCATTCGAGCTACAACCATAATACAGCTGCAGCGTGGTTCTACCACATATAATACTACCTAACAAAGACATGTAGGTGGCTTAGGACTTAGGAATGTGTTTTGTTGCAACTCCGCTTAGGCAAAAAGTCAGTGTAGTGGTTAGAGCAAATGTTCCCTAGTATTTGAGAGGTCTATGCTTTTGTCTGTAAAAAATATTAAAGACGCATACGTGTGCGTGGGTGCCCGTTGTATATATAATGGTGCGTATGAGGGTACAGTTTGGGCTTCGGTTCGGTCGGCGGTGGGCGCGCTCACAGCTGGTACCACTTCTTGTCCTTGTACTTGAGCATGAGGTGGTGCGCGGAGGAGGAGAACTCGGCGGCGTGCGAGTGCATGCGCTCGGTGCGGTCCTCCAGCTGCGACAGCTTGTCGCCGCGCTCCAGCACCGCCTGGTGCGCGCGCGCCACCTCGCCCGCCACCGCGGAGACCCGCGCGCCCGCCTCCCCCACGCCGCCCGCCGCCCGCGCCACCGCGCGGTTCGGCTTGCCGCTGCTCTCGCCGACTGCAACCGATCACACAACCAGCCTCGTCCACAGATTTTACATCACGCTTAACGTCGCACTCATATCGAGTGTGTTATGCACAATGTGCAAATAGTATATTTCATTACGAGTGCGGAAAGCCTGTCATTGCAAAGAGTTCCGACAAATGTCTACCCGAGCCGAGGCGCAGCCGAAGGTGTGGGTTGACAGTCGAAAAAAGTTGCAATGACGGTTCCGCACGTGTACTGAACAACTATTTTCAATACAGTTGCGAAAAAATGAAGCAATTTAATAAAATAATAAAAACACAACAAACTCAACTAACTAATCATTTATTTCTTATAAAAGTTATAATTCACATATACATGGAAATTGGTACAGTTTTATATACTAACTGGGGAAGTTTTAGGTTGCATATTTACTGTTTGAGTTTAATACGTCTTTGTTTGAGGCAAACTATTATTAATTTCGTATGATTGTTCATTTATATTTGTCAAAGGTCTTTTTGACTTTTCCGGTAAAATGATCTCCGAAGCATTTTGTGCAATTATACTGAGTTCCGGTGGTGTTAAATCAAATAAAATATCGTCGAAATTACTCATTTTGTGCAACAAACAACTAAACTCGCAAAGAACATTTTTAGAAAATAGCGCCAACCGTAAAAGAATATAAGCAGATTTTTTTTTGTTTTCTTCACCCATTCTGGGTAGGCAAAGGGAACTATGCCCATACAGCCAAGTCTCCCGTAGAATTTTTTATTGATATGAAATGAAAATGAAATTTAATGAGATGAAATGAAATGAAACCTAACCTAACTCATTAAATCAAATCATTAAATCTGATATTGAAACAAATTAGTAGCTTCTTTTTAGAAATATTTGCATGAATCATAAAAACTTCTATGAATTTTTTTTTAATAAAAACTTCGTGGTTGGTTTTTTCTTTTTAATAGACATTATTTTGACAGTTGCAAAAGAGTACGCACGAGTTCAGAAAAGGTAAAGAAAAAGCTCGAGTATGTAATAGCCCAATTCCCGAACGTTAAAAAATACATAAAAAAATTATATTCAGAATAGACTTGAGGGTAATTTAGATTATTTTTATGGACGAAAGCATTGTTTAGAAAAAAAATATATTTCGTTTATGCTGTATTCGCATTAAGATACCCAGCGACTGACTACACATAGTAGAAAATCTAATATAATAATAATGTAATGTCATCCAGAACGAATTTTAATCACAGCGGCCAATCTTAACAGATGGAATTATAGTGCACGAATATGTGCTCAAACACAGGTACACTTTCTATTCCCTCACGTTCGTAATCCGATGAGACGACAATTCGACATAACCGGCAAGAGATGACGGTCGTAGGACCAACGAAACACAGCCAACTTCCTAATTCCCGAACTGCTATTAAAAATTTCTTGACGGAAAATACCAGTACTGAGACTGACCCAACCAGCAATGTGAACCCGAGTCTTCATGATTTGAAGTCACAGTTACGATCACCAAACGAATAAAACAGTTAAGCACATAAAACTTAAAATAGGTGTTTTTTTGTAACTTATGAAAACCATTTAAAATGTAAATATTGATAGAGAAGTGTTTCCTTGCATGAAACAGGATACATTGTTAAGCAAATTAAAACATCATGGTGTCTCAATACACACATAACCTTAAACCTAAATATGTAAAATCATATCTGTGCCGCACAAGTTGTAAAAAGAAATAACTAACCTATATGGAAATGCCTCAAGAATTAATATTGGGACCATTATTCTTTTTATTATATTAATAACCTGCCTTTTTGCGCTCAAACTTATAGTCTAGTCGACCGACAAGTTCAAAAACGTGTTAATTCTTGTTCCCGATTTTAAAAATATGTGCGATAGCTCATTCGATTCGGAATGACGTCTAAAAAAATGTATTTCGAGGATTTATTAGCACATCATAATAAATTGCAATTGTTATTAACAAAATAAAATGAAAAAAAGATATTTTGTTTTTCTCTAATAACTCAAAATCTATTAATATTTAAGAACTTTTAAAAAAGATCTTTAAAGAGGAGGAAATTTCCAATAAAAAAGTCTACACTCCCGGAATTATATCTCCATTATTTATTATTTTTATTAAACGCCGAAAATAGGACTCTGCGCGATCGTTTCGGCTAGAGCACATCGCCGCTAAAGACAGTGTATCACATAAAATATTTTTTTTATAACATTAAATATAAATGTAAAAATTTGAAAATATTATGGCATCATCAAAACACTTAAATAAATAAAGCCCCGTTGGAAAAAAATTATGTCGATTTTTCAAAAACTAATTTTTTTCCAATCTCATTTTTACAAGAGTCGACACAAAAGTTTAAATATTTGACCTTTAATTTTTTTACTTCTTGAAGTCCTTCTTATGTACATACTTACCAAGATCACATCATGATAAAAGTTTATTAAAGTTTTAATAGTGGTAGAGCCCCGCGGCAGGCTTTGCTGTTGCACGCATGGGCCGGCTCGAACCGGGGTGGTAACATGACCTCAAAGAAGACCAGCGTGAAGTAGAAGCTCTGCTTCATTGCATTTCGTCTGGTGAGTGCGGGTGGCCGGAGCCCCCTCCCCCCAAAACGTGGTAGCGGGGTTACATAATATACTACCCCAGGACCCTCCTGGTACCCTAGACCATTATCCCCGGTGACGGAATCCCTCGCTGAGCATCCACGCTCAAGCTACCCTACTCATCCTGAGCGTGTGTGTTCAGGCTGCCCCGCGTATTCTGAGGGGGGGGGGGGGCGAAATTCCCCTCGAGACTAAATCGGCTCAGGGTAAACGGAGCAATAAGTCAAAGGTGCCCCCTGTCACACTATCCGTGAATTTCTGCAACATAAGGGGACTTCATTCAAACCTTAATGCCGTCCACTACCATCTGGACACGGCAGAGCCGGCCTTGCTTTTTCTAACCAAGACACAGGTGTCCTCTCCGGCTGATACTTCGTATCTCTACCTACCCGGGGTACAGATTAGAACACTCCTTTGTGCCACGGGCTGGAGTTTACGTGTACCTCGGAGAGGACATATGTTTTCGACGCCTCGGCAGCCTTGAAGGTACGGACCTGTTCATCTTATGGCTGCGAGTAGACAGCGACAACCATCCCCGCGTCTACGGGTGCCTCTATAAATCCCATAGCGAAAATGCCGACACAGACCGACTCATCGACCACGTCCAAATGGCTGCAAAAACCGTGCTACAACAGGTCCCATCCACAGGGATCGTGATGCTCGGTGATTTTAACGCCCACCACGATGAATGGCTTGGTTCTCGTTTCACCGATCATGTGGATAGATCTGTTTATGACTTTTCTTTGGAATATGGTTGACACAACTGGTTACCTCCCAGATGTGGAAGATCATGTACCTTCCCTGTTGGACCTTCTGCTGACCTCTCATCCGGACGGATATCAGGTCTCCGTAGATGCCACTCTTGGCTCCTCGGACCATTGTACGATCCGGAGTACGGTGCCACTCATGCTCCCATTGCGGTTGCGTTCTGCAGGTTGCCGTCATGTTTGGCATTATAGGTCAGCCGATTGAGACGGGATGCGATCTTTTTTGCATTCTATTCTTGGAGGCAGGTTTGCTTCTCGCCGGATGCTCCCAGCATTGTTGTTGATTCTGTCGCCGAATGGAACTATTAATTCCATCATCTGTGGTACCTATCGGAGCCAGAACCCAGCAATGGTTTGGTCGCTCCTGCAAAATTGTATTACGTCATAAGCTAGAGTGCCACCAGGCCTGTGCTCACGCATCGACGTCTTGGGATGCCAATACCAGCGCTCTTAAAAAGAAGTATAATTCCGCCTATAGGTCCTTCAAAAGTGTCATTGTCAAGGCAAAGTCAGAGCACATCGGCAGAATTGGCGAGAAACTAGTTCGTCTTCCTTCGGGAAACTTCTCTTGGCAAGGCTGTCCAAGGGAACTTCTGTCAGCCATCTCTACCATATCTGCACAGGATAGACGACTCACTGGCCCGTGCGGCAAAGGAGAAAGCCGATCTGCTAGGCTCTCTCTTTGCTTCCTTCCAACTCGACTCTCGATGACGACAGAACACACCGCCAACCATCCCGCGGTGTGAGTGCTTCATGCAGGAAGTGCCAGCACTCGGTGCGCAAAGCACTCCTCTCCCTGGACGTCAACAAGTCGAGTGGGCCTGATGGAGACGTGTGCTCCGGAGTTGGCAACTATTATTAACTGCCTACTCATGCGGTACTTTGAGGATCACCAGCTGTTTTGTGACGGCCAGTACGATTTCCGTCTAGGTCGCTAAACTGGTGATCTTCTAGGTTACCTAACTCATAGATGGGCAGAGGCAGTGGTGTCCAAGAGGGAGGCGTTGGCTGTTAGCTTGGACACAACGAAGGCCTTCCATCGGGTTTGGCACAAAGCGCTTCTTAAGAAGTTTCCTTCCTATGAGTTTCCCGAGAAATTGTGCAATTGGACCACCGTTTTCTTGCAGATCGGAGCATCAAGGTCGTAGTAGACGGTTCCACAAAGCTGCGTGCTATCACCAATGCTGTTACTTCTGCATATGAATGACATGTTGCAAACCGGTAATATTAATTGCTATGCGGATGATTGCACTAGTGATGCTTTATATACCGGCCGTGCCAATATTTGTCGGGAAAACTCCGCCGAGTACCGGGACAAACTTGTGTCTGAAGTCGAGACTTTGTTGAACAGGGTCTCGGACTGGGAGCGACTAAATCTAGTCCAGTTCAATCCCGAGAAGATACAAGTTTGCGCGTTTACCGCTAAAAAGAACCCCTTAGTCGTATCTCCTCAGTTTTAAGGCATTCTCCTTGTTGCCTCAGCCAGGATCGGAATCCTCGGCGTCAACATATCGAGTGACGTCTAGTTACGTAGTCATTTGGAAGAGAAGGCCAAATTGGCCTCTAGAAGGCTTGGCGTGCTCAGCAGAGCGGGACAGTATTTCATGCCGGCACACCGCCTGCAACTTTACAAGG